CCATCATAAGCAATATGAATTTATAATCTCCACCAAGAAAGAACTCTAAATTTACTATATCTTCCCCCAGATCTATTTTCTTTTCTCTTACCATGTCATTTATGTCACTCAATACATCTTTGAAACAATTTTTCAATACAGCATAATCTTCTTTGCCCTTTACAACCCTATGGTGTGATTTCCTTTCGCTGCCAAAATATCATCTGTAGATTCCAAAAGAGCAAAGCTCATCAAAATAAAATTTGATGTTCTAGTCATTTGTGCTCCATCTCCAGAAATTTTAACTTTAATTGTTTCATTGTTTTTTGCAGCATTGGGGTGAGTAATTAAATATTCCTTTATTCTATTTTGTAACAATTCCTTGAGTGGAAGTTGTGCTCCATGGTCTTCCCCGGGTGTTGAGGTTATATGGTACATTTTATCAAGTTGGCTTCTTCTTTGCTTAATTAAATATGACTTTGGCAAGCCATCTACCAGCATGGTTATCTCATGGTAAAAAGCATCGCCCACACAGACCTTATCCAAGAGAAACAGAACTTTTTCTACCTTATCCTTATCATCCTCTGAGAGGGCATCAAATCCAGTATTCTCTGTGCTACCAGTAACATTGTTTTCCATCATTAAATTATGAGCAATACCAGAGTTGATTTCTTTAACATTTACACTTTTCAATTCCAGTCCAAAAGATCTTGCGAACCATAAAGCAGTTTCAGCTCGTGACAAAAATTTTTTGAGCATCCTTGACTTTTTTTTTGTTTCAGAGATATCTTTTCCTTGGTGTTCCATCTTTTCAGATTTTTCTAGAAGTTCAATATATTGTTTCAATTCTTCATTTTTTGTTTCTAGCTTTTCAATTTTCTCATCCTTTTCTTCCAATGCCCTCCCCATTTCATAATATAGTTTCCTCATTTCCGACTCCAAGTTGCTGTTTCTTTCCTTCCACTTTTGCATCTCGCCATGAATAAGTGTGTTTTCTTCCTCAAGTTGCTTAATTGAAATAGTTTGTCCATCAAATATATGGAACCTTTTGGCCTTTAAATCTAGTTGTTGTCTTTTCCTCCCCCTATTTTTGCCATACTCTACATACACTTTTGCCGCCATAACCCGAAGAGAGTTATTTATTTCTGACCGCACAACTTGATCATGTGTAAGACCAAATGAATTACCAGGAATTGCAAATTCAAACAACTCGATATATGTAAACTGTGGAAAATTTGAGGGCAAGTTGATGCCTATTTTCTTAGGATCACAGGTGCAGGATGTCTGGAAGGGCTTTTTCAACACCACTAGGTTGTACCAGGCTCTCAGTAGTGGGAAAGGAATTATCCACAGTGAACAATATATCTTTGGTTGTAGCTTTAGCAGCATATGCTAATGAATGGCTTTCAACACTTAATTTCCATTGCAAATAAGTATGCATAGAGCACAAAGGCGGAACGTCCGACATTGCAAATACAGCCAAACATATAGAAAACAAGCAAAATTATAAAATGTAACAGACTTTACGCCAACCGAGCCTTGATCGATGCTCAAATTTCAAAAGTTTACCAATAGTTATATTCGTTTTCAAGTTGAAAATCAAATTTACCGCGAAATCCCGCCAATTTTAGGATGTTTACGAGACTGCAGCCTATATTGACAGCGGTTAAAACCATTGTAACATAGCAACAGCTTTATAAAAGCAATAGCGGACAAGAAATATAATTTTGGTGCGAAATTTGTGATATTTTTGTTCAAAATATGGTGTATTTCTCATCACAACTGGACAAACGCCTCTGTTCAAAGTACATGCATTTCATCGCTTTGGGGAACATACTAGTGTATACTTTTACGCTTCATACAAGTGACAATAATAAAGAGGAATAGTGCACGAAGCAATTCAGACGTGCACATTTGACAATATCTGCGAAGAACAAGTTGAAATTGGACCTGCAAAATACCTAATATGTCGAAATCACATACTTTCCTATACGAGACTATAGACAAATATATTGATTGCTCGGGAACATACTTAGACAACTCGAGTCGTACCCAATTTTTTACAGATAAACAGATAAACTGTGTTTTTCTGTTGCGTGAAAAGCCTGCGCATGGCTTCACATTTCCGGTTGGAGGTATCGTTCCAGTTATTTTTAGTTCAGTGACTGTTACTCAACTGTTAAATTCTGTCAATGATTGGGACAACTCGCGAAACAGGAAAATATGGACAGATGTGATTTTTTTAGATTTGGCCAAGGCACTTGACAGTGTTCCTCATGGAAGACTGCTTTTGAACCTAGGTGGCTACGGCATTGATAGAGTTCTGTTAGCCCGGTGGATTGCCTAACACATTTACTTCAACATGTAATCAGCTGAACCTGTTCTGAGTGCTCACCTGTTATATCTGGGACTCCTCAAGGGACGATAGTCAGGCCAATTCTATTTTTAAGTTATATTAATGATATGACTGATGCTATTACATCAAAGACTAAACTATACGTGGAAGAGTAGCTGCAATGCAACTGGTGGTTAATGGGTTAACCAGTTACGTTACTGCATGATACAATACTAAAAGAGATATTGTCTATCTTTCGAGATCAAGAATTTTACTTTCGTGGCTGTTTCAAAACCACAAAAGTTAAAATGGTCACTTAATGATCTAAACTGGATGGCCCGAACAACCACATTGCTAAGAAACATCTTTGTACCAGACAATTTTATGTTTAAAACCATAAACAAAAGTGTTGTGGTTCATGAATCCTCTCAACCCAAGTTAGAATATGATCATAATTATTGGGAGGCAAGCTATGAAGCAAGTGATGAACTAAAAGATGGTGTTCCATTCACCCAGCCAGTTGCTGAAGAACCACTTAAAATAATATCACAATCGCACCAGTCCAGTACCAAACCTAAGGCAAGGTGCTCCCTCTGGGGTAATTATTATGGAAACCTTGGTCAACATGTGCCTGTGCCAAAATGGGGTGGTGTTGCAAAGTTAGATGACCACATACAGGTGAAATTGATCAACACATGTATGTCCAATAGACAATTATTTGAGAATATTTTACCTGTATTTGAAAGATTATCCTGATGTCTTTAACTAACTGGCACTTTTATCCAATAACGGATATCTATGACTAGGCAGATTTCTTGTGGGCAGCAAAATTAGGGAAGCGAAGGAAAATGTGTACCCATCTATCATATGGTAGACTCCATGTTTACCCTTCTTGTTAGAGCACTTTTTGATATTATGGAGGTGGGAAATTTATAAAGAATTCAGGTTCATGAGAATGGTGAGTCATACACTGCATCTGTTTAATAAGGTAAACACCTATACACTTAATGTCTGCTCCCACAGGAAATAGTTTGTTTTGTTTTCCTGAAAGTCTCAATGTTTCCCGAGACGAAGTCGAGAAAATCAACATTCAACAACATTCACACAACAATTGTATTTCATGACAAAAACTCTATAAGTGCAAACAAGTTTAAAATTAAAAGAACATACTTAAATGGTTTCAGCAGCATTTCCTGTTGCCTGTTGTGTATTTTTCTTCTCTTTTACATTCTTTATTTTAACACAAACTTGGAAAATCGTAGTTTCTAATTATGCTAGTTGTGCTGCCACTTTGTTTATTTATGTACATAGCTGGTCAGGGAGGGCAACAATTTTTCACCTGTTGCCTGGCAGGATACATTGCATTTATCTGAGACACATGACCACAAATCAGCCAATCACGTTTGGTGTTCACCCTTCACATTTTGGTGATCTTTTTCATGTGTATGCCCCCTCCCCCCATTAACAAAGTTTAAAACATATTATTAGATGACCCTTGCCTCAAAACTGTTTAACAACATTGCAAAAGGGGGAGGGGGGCAAGAACCACTTGTTATAGGATGGAGGGTACCATTAAACTGCTTGTCTCAATAATTTTTGCATGTGATTGTCTTAGCAGACCTCTCTATGGGCAAAATTTTTTTCCGGTTTTAATCCCAATGATAATAATAATAATTATATGAGTGGACTTGATAATTTGATAGAAACATCTCATTAAATTTATTTGGTAAAAGACCACTGCAATAAGAGTACATAAATTTACCCAGTTGAAATAGAAAAATATCATTAACTTTAAGGATAGAACAGTTCTTAAATAAAGGTTCTGTATGTGCATCAAATTTACATTTATTTAGAATTCTAATTGCTCGCTTTTGCAGTATATTGATACGATGAAGATTATTTGGATACGTTGAAGCCCAAACAATATTACAATATTGGATATACGGGTAAACAATTGAATAGTACAAAGGGAGTAAGGATTTCTTAAGTAGATAAAAACTGGCTCGAAACCTTATTCCTATGGATTTAGACATTTTACGTGCTACATACGAAATGTGTGATTTCCAAGATAATTCCTCATCCAATACTACCCCTAAAAAGACATTTTCTTTCACTTGCTCAATATATTCATTGTTAATGATTATTTGAAAAGTATATTTATTTTTCTTTTATCTTGGTTTAAATACAATAAATTTTGTTTTTTTCTAAGTTTAATGAAAGCTTATTTGATTTAAACCAGTCTGACAATTTTCTAATTTCAATATTCAAAATATTAGTTAATTGTATTGGGTCTTTATTCGAAATAAATAAGTTTGTATCATCCGCAATTAAGATAAGCTCCAATATACTTGACACATGGATTATATCATTGATATAATTTAAAAAGAGCAGCAGACCAAGGATAGAACCTTGTGGGACCCCACATTGTATTTTATTAGGACAGGAACAGTAATCATTAAATTGAACGAATTGTGTTCTATTTGAGAAATAACTCTTCATCCAGTCCAAAGCTATCAATCCACAAATTCCGTAATGGTCAAGCTTATCAAAAAGAATATTGTGGTCTAAAGTGTCAGAGGCTTTAGATAAGTCTAAAAATACACCAACTGCAAACTCTTTTTGATCAATTGCTAGTGATATTTTATCATAAAGATCCACCAGGGTTAAAGAAGTGGAATGGTTTTTTCTAAAACCATATGGTTTTCAGACAAGATACTATTTTTATTTAGGTAATTTAACATCTGGTTATATATAACTCTTTCCAGAAATTTCGAGAAACTAGGAATAGAAATTGGTCTATAATTTGTAAATAGTGTTCTATCACCTGATTTAAACAGGGGAATAACACGAGCAATCTTCATTTCATTTGGCACAATACCATGAGTAATAGATAAGTTGATAATATGAGTTAGAGGTTTAGCAATTATGTTTATAGTTTGCTTTATTATTAACATGGGAACTTTGTCATATCCATATGTTTTGTTTGATTGAAAACTTTTAGAAATCTCAATGATTTCATTTTCTGTTGCCGGGTTAAAAAATATGGAATTAGGATATTGGCCTACAAGAGAATTTAGATGAGAATTAGGAGTAGATTGTATTCTTTTAGCAAGATTTGGACCTATATTTGAGAAATAGTTACAAAATCTATTAGCAATTTCTATAGGATCAGAAATTTCAAAATTATCTACTTTAAATGATGGGAATTTCAATTTTGACCGCTTCTTATTTATGACTTCATTAAGTGTCTTCCAAGTAGATTTAATGTTTTGATTTCTCATTTTCTAATCTCTTTGTGTAATATAATGATTTAGCAATTCTCAAAGAGTGGGTTAATTTGTTTTTATACCTTTTATAAGATATCTCATTAGCAAGAGTTGCATGGGTCACTTATATATTGTTTATATAGTTTATTTTTCCTTTTTATGGATCTTAGCAAACCTTTTGATAACCAAGGCTTGTCAATCTTGATGTTTTATCTTTATTCTTCTTAAAGGAAAACAGTTGTTATAAATTTCTGTATACTTAATTAGCTAAAAAGGTATTGTAAGAATTGTAAGGGTCATCATAGTATTTAAGTTGGGACCAGTTAATACTACCCGATTGCTCAATGAATTTATTTATATTAGTTTTGTTTTTATCCCTGAAAGTAATTTTTTCATTAGTATTATCACAATAATTCATGCCTTCACAGCTAATTGAAAACACATGCAAGTGATCAGAAATATCTGTAATTAACAGGCCACTTGTAGATATGGAAAAAAAGTTGTTCGTAAATATGTTATCGATTAATGTTGAAGTATGAGCTGTTATTCTTGCTGGACAAGTTATAAGTGGAATAAACATATTTGAATACATTCCATCTAAAAATTCACAAGTCAAGGAATGACTGTCATAGTTCAATAAATTTAGGTTAAAATCCCCCATTATACAACAGGTTTTATTTTCATTAGAAATTTTTCCTATTATATCATTATACTTGCTTAGAAAAGAATTAGCATTTTGATTTGGTGGTCGATAAATTATTCCAATAATGATATTTTTACCATGTGGTATGCAAACTTCAATAAATAAGGATTCCGCAACATCATCATCATCATCATCAAAAATTAAATCAGTGCGTATTTTAGAGGTAAAGCAATCTGACAAGTACAAACCAACACCTCCACCAATTTTATTAACCCTGTGTTTATGAAAAAAATTATATCCCTCAATATCAACAGAGTGTTCTGAGTTTTTTAGCCAAGTTTCAGTTATCCCAATTACTGAAAATTCAATATTCAGAGTACTTAATAAATTTGTTAAATTTGATAAATTACTTTCAAGACTGGGGATGTTTAGATGAAATAATGAAAAACTGGGAGCACAGGAAATCTGTGAATTTAACATTTTGTTAAACTGATCTTCAACAAAATAATCGCAGTGGTTAATGAAATTATCATAAAAATGTGAATCTGGGCCCAGATCGATCATTAGACAGAAAGGGGCGATGGCCTGCACCCGAAATCAATGGATTATAATTTAAACTGATCAATCTCTCATGACTGAAATTAATAGGGCCGTTTTTTAACTGAAACATTTCTAAGAAAAATTCGGAGTCGTCAAGACCATGAAAAAGCAAAGCATTCATTGGCATTGAAGACTGCATGATAAATAAAATTAATATACATTAAATTATTTAGAATTACTTAGCTTGATAAAGAGCTAGGGTGTAAAATTTGCACTGAACAACTCAAACTTCTTCATTGATTTGAATGATACAGCAGCATCAGTATCAGTTTTCTTCACATAAGGACTTGCCATATTTGGTCCAAGCATACTTGAAATTATATTTTCTCCGGAATTCCCTCACTTTATAAAACAGCTCCTTGGCTTTAGGTGTCAAGCTTTCGTTAATATATAATTTATTCACTGATTGCGAAAAACCAACAAAATTTGATGAGTTGAGACCTCTCAGACGACCTTTATTATGGTATACAGCATCTCTGATGTTTTGACTGGTAAATTTAGCAATTATTGGAGGTGTAGTACCTTTTCTAGGTGGTAAACAATGACTCACTGAGACATCTGAAGGTTGAATGTCGACTGCAATTAACTTACACATTTCAGTAACCAACTCATCAGTATTCTCACTTGGCATTTCGGGTACGCCATGGTCTAGTTGTCATGCGAAAATTGAAAATTGTTTTAGACTTAAGAGGCTGTCTCCGTAAAAACCTCCAGGTCAGTATGGGGTTCAAAAATAGATTTCTCTCATACTCTAGTATTTTGAAGATCTATCCTTGGGAACAACTAAAATCGATGTCATTTTACTCAAATTTCCTTTAAATTCTTTTTGGGGGCGATTGATGTGCGATCGACTGGTAACCAACTTGATACTCCGAATGAAGGCCAAATATTGACATATTTTCAGCACTATTTTTTAAATCAAATTCATACCTAAATTTCAAAATTTTTGCTCAGAAATATAGACTTATCCTTCTATTTTCGCGGGTGATATGACTTAGATCATTATTCTTTGGTATAAAATAGAAAACAGCGCAGTTATTGACCCTCCTGAACCGGATAAAGGATATCGTCTAATATTGGCACATAACTTTAACTTTTCTATAAACTACTAACATTAGTCGACACAAATCGCCAATAATATCTTTCTGATCTACCATTTAACAATAATGACAAGCGCGCAAACTTTGTAAAATTTGAAAATGTGTTGAAATCGAGCATACTTTTTCGGTAAACATAATTCTTGATATTAACAAATAAAACCACCTTACACTACACTGAATGAAGCTTGATTATGTAAATATATGTCTTTCATCATTATTCTTTGGTTTTGCACTCGAATGAAATTGTTTGACTGTACAGTTTGGCTTCAAGGATAGTCATTCAATGCCAGTGTGTCCAGTGTGTTCGAATTCTGCGCACCTCAATGCCATGAGTCCTGATTGTGACATACGAACTTCGCTCTGTTCGCTTTGTTTACCTCCTGTAAATAAAATGTCTCAAAGAAATTAGAAAATTCAGAATTAGTCATACTACAGACATAATTTTCATTGGTTTGTTTACCTTAAACTGTTATATAAAGTTTCGTTTTATAGAATGTACGAATTAATCTCGGGGAAAACTCCTAACTGAAAGAAATGTACTCGCTGAGCGTAAACATGTCAATCAAATGACGATGAAATGTTTTGTTGCTCTCTGATTTCCCTTTCTTTGTATTGAATTAAATAGTAGTCTTAGACAGTATTGCATGAGGTTTTTGTGTTTACAATAATGGTGTTCTACTTCTACTACAGCCGCAATTTGTGATCACGCAACCTTAAGGCCCTGTCCCACTATTGCGTATGAGAGAAACGTATGAGAAGCGTATGAAAATTAATGAAATCATTTTCATACGCACAAAAATCCTTTGAAATGCCAGCATATGAGTACTAGAATATGAGAGAAATCTATTTTTGAGCCCCATATTGACCTGGAGGTTTTTACGGAGACAGCCTCTTAAGAGGTAAGATTTTGCTAAATTGATTAATATGGCTACATGTTTCTAATCAATAATGTGATGGTCAACAAAAGCTTCACTGTAATTACAGCACTTATACAAAGTTACTTGTATTATTTACAGGGCATGGACCAGTCTGAGAGTGACACAGACGATTTCCAGGTCAATACTTTAGCATCTGCAAACCAGATACGAAGAACGTACCTGGTCACATACAGCCAAGCAGATCTCCGAATATTTCGAACAAGGCAAAGTTTCGGGGAGCAAGTGCCTAGTTGAGCACTGGGCTTGTTGCCAAGGGCCACATGAGAACTGTGGAAAACAAGTGAAAGAAAAGATGACGAAAAACCATTGGGTTGTGCTGCATTTTCCAACGCAGAAGTTTTTTTAAGTCCCAATCACCCCAAATAAAAAGTGAAACCGAGCTACTTGTACTTGCAGATGCTCAAAGCAAAGAAGGGAAGAAAGACTTAGCCAATTTTATTTTGTGTCGCTCAAACAAAGCCATCCAAGAGCTTATTGGCGAACTGGTGTTTTGGGATGAACAGTTTAAATTTTTTCATGCAGCCAGCAGCATTGTACATTTACAATCAAATAAATATATAAGAATAGACAACATGTTACACCACATATTACGTTTGCGTTTATATAGAATATTCATGAAAACAGACACGTTACACACATTACGCCCATTCCTATAAAAGTAGAATAGGTCTTCCTAAAATATATTAGGCATAACGTGTCACATGTCAGCTTTCTATAGACTCTTATATACTGAAAGGCATAACATGCATGTAACATGTTGAAATTGAGTTCTATTTAGTTTGTATACATATATAAGGTCTTTAAAACAAGAAATCGTTGAGTTTTCGCTGGCATTTTATTGAATATATATGCATGGTAAAAGTGTTTAGATAATACATTCCTCACCTTTAAAAGCACAATGATGAGTTTGTCAAAAAGTACTATCGACCGAATATTGAACAAGCGTGTTACAATAATCAGTGAGAAACAAGGAGAACGATTAAAGTATTACATTTATTATTTTTTCCTTACATGTACAGTTTATATTGGCAGTGCCTTCTGGCTTCAATAACTGTTTTAGATCCTTAAAAGTCTCTCTCAGAAAATTGTTCAGTATGTAAAAGAGAGTGGAGAACTTTGATAGGTTACCTTGCTGTTTCCCTGTGTTTTGTCTAAACTCATTAAGACCCAATTCACAAATTCACACTGATGTGCTCTATTTCAAAGCTCAATATTTTGCCTGTTAATACCAGACTATTTTGCGTTATTTGATGTTAACACATTCTAACACTCAATCCCCACTTTCAGTACTTTGATATTTAATTATCAGATGATTTTACTCATCAAAGTGAGTGTTGGTCATTGAAAGGTTAATAATTAACTGCAAAAGCTGCTGTGTTGGCATATTTAGAAGCAATGTGCCTTACTTTTAGTACTTTGTTATTTTACTGTGTTTATTCTATTAATGTGCTAGACTCCACTTAGAGTAAAATAATAAATTGGGTGCATTTGGGCATATTTAATGGTTAACAAGATACATTGTAATACTTTGTAATACTTGCGATAGATGAACCAGGTGCAAATCGTAATCTTAGGATAAATATTAACTCATTAATGCAAAATGCGCCCGTATGCGCCCTGAGATTGACAAGTGGGTAACAGACAATGCGCCCTCAAATGACACCTCAACTTGCGGGCATGATATTTGAGCACGTGTTTATCGGGTTGCCTAGCAACGGATACGAAAATAGAACGTGAAATTCGAGCTTTTCAATGGTGTATCATGCAAGAAAATCGGTTAGAAACTCGCAAAGTTTTTCAAGTTTAAAACCTTAGTTTTTCAAAAATAATGAATAATGGAGATATAACAGCAAGGAAGGATTTTACAGCAAGTTTTAAAAGCGAAAAAAGAAGAGGTTTTTGGATGATCTACAACAAAAATTTCATATAAACAATATTTAATTTCAAAAAAAAGAAATGGCAATTTTTCCAAAAGGGAAAGCTTGCCTGACATTAATAAATACGTAGTTTGCATTGAAATTAATAAACATATATAAATTTAGAGTGGCAACGAAACGTATGAGAATAAGAATAAAATATATCTTGACACACACACAGCCATGCACCTGCAGAATTAACAGTGTCTTCTATCTTACAAGATGAACATTACTGCAAGCACGGTTAATAGAATTAGATGGTTAGGCTAGCTGGACCACGTGACAAATATGTTATTGTTCATTTTTATTTTTGGTCACGTGACGAGGAAAGGGGGTGCTTTGTGATGAGTGATTAGGAAAACATATGAGTGAGAACATAATATGCCAACAAAAGATCATATTTCAAAGCGCTAGAGGGCTTCTGAGATCAAGATGGAAATTGAAACATAAAGCGAACAAACATACGAACCTATTTTGAACGTTGGAGATGAAAATATCGAAGAAAGCGAGCGTCGTGAACAGTTTATGATCGAGGGGACGAAGGCTTTGTTTATACACCGCGTTTGGATAATTGTATTTTTGCCGTTGTTTTAGTATGTCAGGATACGGTTAAACGTTTGAAGTAATATTGAACAGTATGGTTGGCTCTAATTGTGCTTTGTATGGCTGTCCGACCAGCAGAACGCGTGAATTTGCAATTTTTAAAATCCCTGTTGTTGGCGCAGCCGATGTAGTCTGCGTAGGAGACTACAGCCGATGGTGAACAAGAAGAGAAATGCTCGCGAAGAATGGCTTCGAATTCTTTTAAAGGACTAGAGAAAAGACGGTAGATCTTCAGAAACAAATAAGATTTTCCTTTGTGAGCGTCATTTGAAGCCATTGTAAATTTTGCATTTTATGCATGCGCTTGTGTGATCAGATGTAAACAAAGAGGGCATTGTATTTGCATATTTACATATCCCATGTCTATTAATTATCTATCTTCTGTAGACCCCAAACGAAAGATTTTATAACTGGTAGCGTACCACTGAATATTTACCTACAATAAGCACGAAGTTCCCAAGGCTGAGCGTCGCATTCTCAACGTATAAATACCAGATAAACAACCTACAAGCTTCGAATTACACACGTTAGTTCAGTGGCTGGCGAGGTGGCTGGTGTGTCCAGTATTGAAATTAAAACTGATGGCAGATTTAGATAATATGCAAATATGGAAAGTAGAAGAAATTCAAGATAACCTAGGAGGTCCAAGGCTCAAAAAGCAATTTAAAAAGCAAAAAAAATCTTTAAGTTTTTCACTATCATATGAAAATGGTCTATGCTTGTTTAATTAAGTTGTTTTGTTCCAAACGTGGTATATTGCATGTAAATATTTTTTGTGGTCACTCGATTTTCATACCAAGATTGGTGAATTAAAGGCCATGATATTATATTATCTGGTATTCAACAGAAATAAAGTCAAATCAGGGTACATCAAAGTTTTAATGGGTTAGTTAGGGGCTGATTACATGGAGCATTTTCAACCCTGGGGTTGTCTCCTACAGATCTACAGTTGGGGCCTACAGTTGGGACCTACGAGGCCTGGGCTGAACTGAACCCTCGCCCTTGTCTGTAATACAAAATGCTATCAAAATCAAATGCACGATTTCAAAATTTTCAATTCAGGGCCAAGTTCAACCCCGCTTCAGCTAGCAGAGTTATAAATTTCAACCCCAGGTTGGACTTCGCATTGGGTTGAAAATTTTATCATGTAATCGTTTCAAGCCAGGGCTGAAATTATTCATAAGTTACTCAAGCATTTGATCAGGCTTGTTTTTGTTTTCACTTCAGCATTTCAACCCTGGGGTTGAGATTGTCCATGTAATCGCAAAATATTCAACCCAGTTATGTAAACATGGTCGAGTTCAAACCTGTGGTTAAAAGTGCTCCATGTAATCGTCCCCTTAGTGTGGTGTGATCCGCCTACTGTGGGGCAGGGCTGTACTGAATGGTGGCAGATTACCATAATCAAATCACTTCTATTTCGACCAGCCAATAAGGTTTAATTAAAAACAATATTATTGTATAATATATGATAAAATTATTGAATTATGGAAACAGTGTTCTGAACTTCTGACAATCATTAACAATTAAGAAGTTTATAAGTTTTATATGTTATCGCATCCCCTTTCTCAATCACTCAATGCCTTTTCTTTGACTGCCTTTCATTAATTAATGCTATACTTTAAAGATGCGGTACAGTCCGTATGTAAACAAAGGCTTTGTTTACATTTCGGTATCCAAAATATTGAATTTTATTCCACAACTAGTTATATTTTCATGATTCTAGAAATTATCAAGTGACAACAATCAAGCTTTGCAAGAACATAAAATGAAATAAAAACCTAACTAAACTGTTTGTAAATAAAAAGGGGACTCCTGTGTGCACAGATTGGACTGTACATGCCGCATCTTTAATAGTAATAAAGTCTCTGGTGTAGGAAAATGCTCCGACTGTTAAATAAAGTTTAACTATATTTTCCGTACAGTTTCTGTGCAGAGTTCGAGGGTTGAACTTCACGAAAAATCACAGCATTTTCCAACAATGCCGACATTTTGCTGGTGTAGTGTTATAAAAATCCGATCAAATATGCTCAGGAATATATTTGCTACTTTATAGTTCTCACAATTTTATAGCTGCTCACACAAACGAGGAATCAAGCCATATAAAAACATTCTAAAAGTTTATCTTGATTGTTCCTTGGACAGAATGTTGTGTAAAGTGGCCATGCAAAGCATCGAACAAAGCATCAGTAGAGGAAACAGTAGCCAAACTGACCTGAATCGGTGTAATATAATCAAACCACGTCCTCTAATAGTCAACGCAGCACGAGTTTTGTCTCTCCCTTTACTTTATAGACTTGCACACTATCTCTCACTGACTAAAAGGAAAAACCCTCTCGCCATCAATTTCTTGTATAGCTTCGGTGAATTCAGCGTCTGTTTCGTCTAACTGTATTTCCGTTAGAGCAACAGACACATCAAAGTTGTATAAATCCTCTGCGGTTGCATCGTCTAGTTGCGATAAATGTCTTCGCCCTTCGTCCTCTTATGCCTCGATCATAAACTGTTCGCGACGCTCGCTTTCTTCGATATTTTCATCTCCAACGTTCAAAATAGGTTCGTATGTTTGTTCGCTTTCTGTTTCAATTTCCACCTTGATCTCAGAAGCCCTATAGCGTTTTGAAATATGATCTTTTGTTGGCATATTATGTTCTCGCCCATATGTTTTCTTAATCACTCATCACAAAGCACCCCCTTTCCTCGTCACGTGACACAAATAAAAGTGGTTCTCGACATAATTTGCCGCTCCCTTTGAAGTTTGCCGGCTAGCCTAACCATCTAATTCTATTAACCGTGCTGCAAGGCATGGCTGAAAAGTGTTCTTGATTTGAACAAAAGCGTTTAGTGTTCACAATAAAGTTTTGAACGATTAGAAAAAGATTAGCATTTGTATGTTGCGAAACGTCGGGATGACCGTTCAAAAACCATGATAAACGCATTTTGCTTATTGAATTTAACCATTTGGAACCAAGTAAATGTGCAGCGGAAGCAAAAAGAACAGCGCGATGAGCAGCATATCGGCCACAGTCAAAGAAGAAATGACTGACAGTCTCACTGGTTGAACCACAAGAACATAATGGCGATGGCACGCAATTTATTAAGAACAAATAATGATTTAAGGTACAATGAAACGGGCGAAAACGGGTATGAAGTATGGAGGCGTAGCGATTACCAATGTAGAACAATGTATTTGGAATTGGATCGTCACGCCAAATTTTGAGATTGGTTTTAAAATGAAGTAAAGATTCAGAAGTTCGAATGTTTAATGGCAAGCTATTCCAAAGTGTAATTGAAGAAATGGCAAAAGATTTTTGAAGACGTTCTGTCCTAGCAAAAGGAACACAAGGTCATCATGTGTCCGTAGCGTATAAGCTGATTTTGTGCTTATGTGTTCAGGACACAATTCAAGTAGGTATGGTGGTGCTAAATTATTCAAAATTTTGAACATCATAAAAAGCTTATGATCAGAGCGTCTGGATCTGAGCCTAACCCAAGCTGTTTCCTTAAGTAGACGTTCACGACTCGTTCCTTTTATAGCACCCGTAACTAATCGAGCCACATCGATCTGCAATTTTTCAAGATCACTATCGGTTTCTGTACAACCATCCCAAATAATATCGGCGTAATCTAAACACGATCGAACTAATGATTTATACAGAACATCAAGGGTTTTTCTTTTTAGAATGAACTTTAAGGGTTTAAGCATATTTAGTTTTTTAGAAGCCTTTTGATGAATTTTCAAGATATGAGGACGCCACGAAAGATTAAATGCAAGTGTAACACCTAAATGCTCATGAGAAGTGACATCCCTAATTATTGTATTAGTCATATAAAGTGGCGGATGAAATGGTTTGTCCCTTTTACATGTGAAAATCATGGTTTCCGTTTTTTCGGGGTTCATAGTGACAAGCCATCGGTTTGACCAAGCCGAAATTGTAGAGAGATCATTATTTAATTTGTTAGCCGAATCAACCGGCGAAATTACTTCCTCCATTAATAATGAGTCATCAGCAAATAGAAAACAGTCAGATGAAATATTAGTTGCAATATCATTGATATATATTAGAAACAAAAGAGGGCCAAGTACAGATCCTGTGGAACCCCTGCTTTAACATTTTTCAGTTCAGAACTAGTTCCTTCAATTATAACACATTGCTGCCTTCCAGTTAAGTAACTTTCAAACCAAAGTAACAATGATCCGTTTATTCCAATACTCCTTAGTTTAGCAATTAGGCCTTTGTGCCAGACTCTATCAAATGCCTTGGAAATGTCAAGAAAGACAGCTCTTACTTCGTTACCTCTAATGCATTATAAATCTTGTTCACAATGTAAATTAACTGCATAACTGTAGAATCACAAGGACGAAAACAAGACTGAAAGCGATAAAAAAATCCACAGTTTGAGAAAATTATATAATCTCATAAACACAATTTTTTTGCAAATTTTGGATAAATTGACTAATAATGATATAGGGCGATAATTATTCCTTACTTGTCTGTTGTCTTCTTTAAATAGTGGAATCACATTGGCAAATTTCCAAGCGTTTGGATATTGGCCAAGGCAAAACGAGGTATTTAATAAGCGAGTAAAAGGCTTGTGAATACCAATAGCGCAAAGTTTGATAATTCGATTGCTGATATTATCCAAACCACAAGCTTTAGAAATATCAACATTACTTAACAAATTTAGAACTTTGAGTTCATCAGTTTCTACCACAGAAAGCGAGTGAGTTGATAACGAAACCAAAGGGATGGGACTGTTCGTGTCATTAGGAATTTGAGTTTGGGCCGTGAAATATTCATTTAAAGAATCTGCTTTTTGTTTAGTATCAGAGATTATTTCGCCATTAACTAGCAAGTCTGGCATAGGGGAATAATATTTGTTGTGAAAGAGTGATTTGGAAATGCCCCACCATTTTTTAGAACATGTCCTAGGATTACTTAAGTCTATGTTTAATTTAACGTAATAATCCTTTTTTGCCTTTCTGATAAAGCCGACAACCATGTTACGTTGAATTCTGTACTTCTCCCAGGCTTGTGGAGTTTTACGTCTTAAATATTTTGACAAAAGACGGTCGCGTTTGCGAATACCTCTGCGAATACATCCATTCATCCAAGGCTTATCCTTTGGACGAATTGTTACTTGTTTTATTGGAATATACATATCAACAATTGGGCTGAATAAATTAAACCATTTATTATAAACACAGTTGATTGACTCATTAGAGTACATGGAGTCCCAGTTGGCATTTTGAAGTGCAGCGTTTAGGCCATTAATATTAACATTATTGAAATTACGAACAGTATGCTTAAAGGCTTTTGGTTTATGGACAGCAATATTGAAAGTTGCAAAAATAGCATTGTG